ACGTTAAAATTTAGATACATTGCGCGATAGTTTTCACCGAAGGGGTGTTCGAGGGTGAAACACTGGTTGTCCATCCCAGTAGACCCAGAGGGGAACTCGAAATAGAACTTCGCCCTCCGAAGAATGCTCCTGTCGATATGCACGTTAAAGTGTGCGTCGGTCCAGCTGGTGCAGATCTGTTACAGGTAGCCAAGAATTTTCACCATATACAATATTTTAATATAGAATCTCGTTTCAATTTCTTTACCCCGTCTAAGGTGTTCGAAATGACGCGTCAATTGCCACGATTTTGCATGTATCAAATCATCGAACGACCTGAACAAATTGCAGAGGACTTCACAAGAAACAATGCCACTGCCGAGGTATTCATTTCGATTGGCTATAAAAATGCGAATATAAAATGCCAAAAAATCGTCAGATACTCTACGTGGTACATTATATTTGTTCCTTGACAAATTATAGTTCACGGAAAGGCCTCAAAGAATCGCACTTTGGTTGAATCAGAATCTCGTCCTGCCGGAGGAATTCGAAGTTAAAGAAGACAAGCCGAACAACGGGGGCATTGAAATATGGCTCCGTGGCATGAGAGACAATAAGGTTCATTGCTTCATGGCAAATTCAACAGGGAAAGTAACTATTCAAACGGAAGATATTATATTTGCTGGCGATGTTATTCAGTCGTTATCTTTGTACTTGGGCCTCAGAGAGCTTTCCTCCGAGGTTTCATTTCCGGTCGAAGAGAGGAAGATGTTGGACGCACTGGAACGCGTGAAAGGTAGGGAATTTTATAGATTTTTTTATAGTTCAATGACAAGTTTCAGTAACCGGTTTATTATAGAGTTGAAGGAAATTGACATTAGACTGCAAGCAGAGGCAGCTAATGAAACTACCTTGCTGAAGAATATTATAATTCGTTTGGAGGACGCGAGAATCCTCGAGAATATCGACGAGATGAGAAAGAGACTGGTACAATTGAAAAATGTGAATGTCGATCTGATCAGGGAGCACGAAATCAGGATGAAAAGTTACAAAGAACTTACGGCGAATTTGAAGGAACTGAATCTTGGAGTACAACATGCAGCTAGATTAAGAGGTGATGTTATTTATTCTTCTCTTACTCATTCCCTTGGAACTAAACCATTGTTTACATTGTTACTGTTAGTTGGGAAAAGTGCCTCGAATACAGTAGCACAGTGTAGAGCAGCGATTCAGGAGGAAAATTCGAAGGCCCTCATGCTTGCAATAAGACATGGATGAATTTTAAGTGCTATACTTTATTTCTTCGATTGTTGATTTTTATTGAAATGGAAATTCACATTAAACGTGGTATTTTCGTGCCAACCTTATTAACATTAGCTTCAGCTAAATGTAAATTCGTCTTTACTTAATGAAGCGTTCCTCGAACGGAAATGCTGAATCTCCTCTTGAGCGGAACAGGCGAAGGACGTCGGAGAACATCCAAGGTTCCATCGGTGGAGGCTCTCACCCTGAAGGTATTCGTTTGTTGGCCAGAATTGCCCGGCAATTCCGTCAACAGTTTGGATATGTCAGTGAAAACGGCCATGACCTGTCGAATAAAAATAATCGAATAAATAACGCCGCGGGATTATCTAATTCAGCCGCTATGACGATTATATTTGACATATCTTTTTTTTTTTTTTTTTTCTGTCATAAAGTACGTTTAAAATTATCTCGTGCCAGTTTTCGTTTGTACTCGTGCTAAACATCAGTTCGCGATACACACAACGTTTTCGTCTATTATTCGTCCATGTTACCTTAGATTTTTTGTCAACCAAGAACAAGTACGATGTCGCCGTGCCATTGGCTCAGTGTACATTAATTAATTGTGTAGCAAATTTTCAATTACCGATAGACACGTTCATGGTACCGATAACGCCGGGACGATCGTTTCGAGATGGCTGCGGTATCGCCTGCGCGTTCCACGATACAGATTTTGTTTACCACTCCGCGATCACGCGTAAACGCCATGACCGGTTTCCCGGAGGAGTAAACAATCGTTTTAGAAAAATAAGGGGCTCGTGTAATCGCGAGCCTAACGGCTTGATCCTAACGAGGATCATCGATCGAAACAAAGCGAAACGATCGATCCACCATTGGCTTTCCCTTTCTTTCAGCGGCAATAGAGCAATAGAGCAGAATTTCAGCTCTGAGATTTCCGATCGGCCGACACTTTCTTTCGTCTCGTATCATCGCGGCGAGATTTTACGAATATATATATATATATATTTAACTCGAGATATCAATCGGCCTGTCTGCCCAAGTTTTCGTGCACGATGACGTGTGCTGTTGTGTCTGGCTGTGGCAGATTTTTCGGGAAAAAAATTTAAAGAAAAGTTCGAGTAAGGTGAAGTTGTTTGAACGACTCTCTCTCTCTCTCTCTCTCGTGTCAACTCGCACATGACATGTACATATATCAGATTACACGTACAGATACAGAATTGATCATCAAGTAGAGTTCACGTGGTAGAATTTATAACGTAATGTCAATTATTCGAGTTAAGAAAAGAGATGGCAGCGTTTTTTTTTTTTTTTTTTTTTTTTTTTTTTTTTTAAAA